GGTCATCGCCAGGTGAGAATGAGGCGATGTAAGAGGTGGAAAATGGATGACACTTCTGGAATACGTTGCTTCTAGAGTCGCCGGGTGAAGCGACCGTGAAGGGTGCGTCGCTAGGCGACGGGGGTGTGTCGCCGAGTGACGAATGGCAGATTTGGTTGGCTGTGTCGGACAATCTTAAAATGGTCATAACTTTAGTTCTAGAGCTCGGATTGAGGTTCCATTCGAAGAACTGGATAGCTAACGCAATGAACTTAAATTATGTGAAGAAAATGAGAATTAAGGAGTATATCTCTGAGACATAAGTTAGAATAGAATTAGGTTCCCCGTGTTGAATCACAATGATGTTTTGTTTATGATGATGTTACGGTGTTGTGATGACTACTATGATGATATTATGGTGTTGTGTTGATTACTATGATGAAGTTATGATGTTGTGTTGATTAGTATGATGTTATGATGATGTTTGTGATGAATCATGAATGGTGATACGTGTTGACTAGATGCGGTCGTATAAAATATGTTGTTGTGCATCATTGCATTCATGGCATATTCTAGGACTTCGGTCCAGTGAAGTTAGGACTTCAGTCCAATGAAGTTGATAGGACAATTTTCCAGTGAAGGCAACAATCCCATAGTGTGGATTAGATGCAATAATGAAGTGCTCTGGTTCCAAGCGGGAATCGATCCTTTGGAGATAATGATGATTGAGTCATTAGTGAAGTTTTGGTACCGCATGCATGAGTCAATGATGTTGCATTACATTATATGTGACATTGCATAATGATTTATTTGTGATGCTTGATGATACATTGTGTATGATGATATGTGTTCGTATATTGATGAAGTGGTGAAGGTGTGAGTATAACATGATGATGTGTGATGCCTTGCTTATGTGCATATTTAGTATGTCTATTTCTTATGTCTTATATAATGATTATGATTTACTCACCCTTTCTATTTGAATGTTGCCTCCACGTGGGTAACATGCATGTGACCAAGAATAATCCATAGAAGCATTAAAAGATAGCTTTGAAGTGTGTTTATTTGCTCGGTGAATAGAAATCAGAAAAAAAATTGGTCGGTGAATAGTATCGTCTGTACGGATGAATAGTGCTTTCAGTACGGATAAATAGTAATGTCTGTATGGTGAATAGTAATTTCTAGTTTTCGGGCTTTTTCGGTTCTGTCCATGGATCCATGTATAATTGGATTGTGATTTTAGGCTTTGTTTGTTGGGTATTTACTATTATAAATATGCATCTCTTGTATGCTTGAAGTTGTGACAATTCATAGAGCTTATAGCAACAAGGGAAAACAAGGGTTTAAAGGCATAGCATAGAGTTTTGGATACTCTCAAGGGAAACCTTAGAAAGATAAGGATTTTGGAAACCTTTGGGGTTATCTAAGGTTATTGGGAATTGGGAAACACTTGTTTACACCTTGGGTTTGGGTTATTCATATATTAAAGATTGAAGAGGTTGGGAAACACTTGGGTAGAAAATATGCTAATTCTTGGACGCATTCAGGATTGTTCTTAGGAACCTGAAGGCGAAGACTATTTTCTTGTAAATCATTTGTAATATTTTGTAACAACTTTATGAGTATAGTAAATTGGAGAGCTGCTCTCTCCCCCATAGTAGATCGTTTGAATTAAGTCCAGATGACAGTGAAATTCAAAGAATTTTCAAAGTCAAAATATTTGAAGATTGAAGATAATGGTGAAGGCTTAAATGTGTCAAGAGGAGAAGGTGAGCGTAAAGGGATGTCCAAATCAAAGAGGTTTTACAAGTCAAAGGTAATATGTTTTAATTGTCAGAAAATAGGTCACTTTAAAAGGGATTATCCTGAGAGAAAGGCCAGTGAAGATTCTGTTTAAGCTACAGTCGCCTTGGGTGACAAAAGTTATGAGTATGTCAAAGCACTAGTAGTATCGAGTTTGGAAACTTAAGATAGTTGGGTCATTGACTCAGGTTGCTCTTATCACACGTGTCTAAGAATAAAATACTTTGAAACTTTAAAGATGGTTCAAAATGGATTTGTTTGCCTTGGTGATAATAAGGCTTGTAAGGTTCATGGTATTGATACGGTCAGACTTAAAATGTTTGATGATCGTGAACTTCTTATTGACAATGTGAGGTATGTTTCAGAACTCAATCACAATTTGTTATCTATAAGTATGTTTGATTATTTAGGCTATTGCACTAGAGTTGAACATGCAGCGCTGGAGACTCCGCGTGATGAATTGATCATTGCTAAATGGTCTAAAATATGTGGTCTATATATTTGAGAAGGTTTATATATTGTTATTAATTCATCAGTAACTAGTGGATCCTTTCATGACAAGGAAGAACTATGGGATTTGAGTTTAAGCCGTTATGAATGCCTTGAGAAATTTTCAGAGGAGTATAATAAATTTTGCTGAAATCAAGGGATAAAAATGCATGTTATTGCTGAGTTGTTATTGAGTTTTTGGGAAAGGGCTGAGGTTAAAACAACTTATTTGGTTGGTAGAGAATTTCTTCAGAAGAAGAATAGTGAAAACCAAGGGAGAAAACCGATAGAAACTATAACGGAGAAAACTCAGTTAGAGGTGGAGTTTCCTACTATGAATATTAGTAGTAGTGAGGGAACAACTACAAAGATCTCTGATTATCATTTAACTCAAGATTCAAGGGTTGTTTGAATTTGATCAAGGTTGTTGATTAGAGTTTCAACATGGTAGAGAGCAGCAATGTTGTTGATTATTAAATTGGTATCAATACAGTTTAAAATCAAGATGGAGATTGTTGTAAATGTGCCTGAAAACCTTTGTTGATTAAGAGAAAGAAAACATATTTTGGAGATAGCATTTACCGTGAAAATCTGAAGTTTTAGAAAGTCGGACGAAAAGGCGAAAAATAGAAATCAGAAAAAAAAATTCGATTAGTGAATAGTATCATCCGTATGGATGAATAATATTGTCTGTACGGATGAATAGTGATGTCCGTATGGTAAATAGTGTTATCCGTATGGTGAATAACGATTTCGGGGTTTTGGGCTTTTTCGGTTCGGTCTATGGATCCGTGCATAATTGGATTGTGATTTTGGACTTTGTTTGTTGGGTATTTGCTATTATAAATATGTATCTCTTGTATGCTTGCATGTGTAACAATCTTAGAGCTTATAGTAACAAGGGAGAACAAAGGTTTAAAGGTATAACATAAAGTTTTGGCTATTCTCAAGGGAAACCTTAGAAAGACAAGAGTTTTGGAAATCTTTAGGGTTATCTAAGGTTATTGGAAATTGGAAAACACTTGTTTACATCTTGGATTTGAGTTATTCATATGTTGAGGTTGAAGAAGTTGGGAAACACTTGGGTAGAAAATAGGGTAATTCTTGGGCGCATTCAGAGTTGTTCTTAAGAACCTGAAAGCGAAGACTATATTCTTGTAACTCATTTATAATCTCTTGTAATAATTTTCTGAGTATAGTAAATTGAAGAGTTGCTCTCTCCTCCAGAGTAGATCGTTTGATCGAATTGAGTAAACAAATCTTCATCTTTTTCTCGCCTTATTCTGTGTATGAATTACTATTATTGTAAACATTTTATTTTGATTACTATTATTCTTTACCTCACTAATTGATATTAAATAAACTCACTAATTGATATTAAATTTTATTGTAATTCACAACAAGATTCACAACAAACAAATATATAAAATAACACCACCCGCCTTACGATCTAACTTTGTAAGGATTATCACGTGAAACTATAATACCAAACAACAATAATATAATATGTGTTTGAGGTAGTTTGAATATGGTAATTGGTGATAGCGCAACTTGTCCTTTATTTTCATACATGCATTTTGGCTTTTTTTTTCATTAAAGAAGAAAATCGAGGTTAAGTTAAGTTAGTTCATCGCTTTTTTTTTTCATTAAAGAAGAAAATCGAGGTTAAGTTAAGTTAGTTCATGGTAACAACTGTAGCTTAAATGGTTAAAGTTATCTTTTAAACTAAGGTGCATAGTTATATGGTTTAACCATCGAGATGGACATTGCGATACCTTTGTCCTTTGGGTTGCCTAAAAACTCACCGATAAGATCTTCATGTCCCCAAGCTAGCTACTCTAATGCTACTTCCATAGTGTAACTTAATGGATACTTGGTCATTCTAGCATATATTTAAAATTTTAATTCTAATTTAATTTCGTTCCACCACTTTGATACTCCTGGTTTATTCCCATCGAAGAATAGAAAAAATAAAATTATTCCCGTGTTCTTGCTCTGGTTTTATTTTGGCAGTTCTATGGCTTTATATCTAACAATAAACTTTTTAAAATGCATGATATTTATATTAAATTAAGTTTATTAACTACTAAGAAAAATAAAATAGAATGCTTATGAAGTAATGTATACAATATTAATTAAACAGTACAATTTTTTAAAAATAAATTTATTTATTAAAAAGACATTATGAAATGAAAGAATTTTAAAACAATTTTTTAAATATTTTTGAGTTGGTTTCAAACTCTCGAAGTTTAATTATATCCTCACACACATAACACTCAACATTTGATCTAGACTACTATTATATATAAGAGATAATAAGAATTTAGACTAATGGAGATCAAGAGAAAAAAATTTAAAATTTTGAAAATCACTTATAATTTTTTTTTTGTCTATAGATAAAGTGACAACAACAACCATAAATTCATATATGAGTTAAAAATATGTTGTTTAATTTAACAAAATTAATAATTATCAATTCATCTAAGTCTTACTATTAATATCTGCACAAGAAACAAAATATTCTTACTTGGTTATTTGGAAAGGAAAAGAAAACACAATATGTCATTACTTGTGAAAAAAAAACATACAGCAAAAGAGTAATGAAAAAAGGCAAGAGAAGTAAGCAACATATCCTCGTGAAGAACACATGGTTTTAGTGAGGGTATTATTACAAAACAAGACCTCAAATCCAACAAAAAAACGAGGTGAGGATAGGTAGAAGTACAAAATCAGCGATGGACCTGATTATTATGTGTATGGTTTGGTCCAGCTGGCGAAAGCCTATCTCCACCTGGTGAGGCTTTATCTTCAAGAGCACTTCGAGAACTACGTCTTTGCTTTATTCTATCTGTCATTAACTCATGCAACAGACGTTGGCTATCTATATGATGTCTTCCACCTTCAAGTCTTCTAGCTTCAAGATTTGTGAAAAAAGTGAAGAATATCATCAAGATTATTAGACCAAGTTTGGAAAATCGTACTCTACTTGTATTCTCCATGCAAAGAACGAGAAGCTTTGGCCAGCTTGAGTTTGAAATAGAGTAGAGACTTGAGAATGTTGAGACTGGTTTTATTTAGAATTAAGCTGACTAGATACTAGTATTATATTATTGTTTAGATTCATCTCATTCTATCTTATTGGATCGCAGAGTACCATTTATGCTCTTGTCAACTTATTGGTTATGAAACAATAAACACTAGAATTATATAGGTTGAATGTACAATTCCGTGAGCAATATAAGTCAGTTTCTTTTTAACCCTCTTTGATATATATATATATATATATATATATATATATATATATATATATATATATATATATATATATATATATATATATATATATATATATATATATATATATATATATATATATATATTTTTTTTTTTTTTTTAGTATCTGGTGTAATATATATTTTGAATTATCTCCTAAGCGTATAATTTTAATATGGAATTTGAGGGTAAATAAAAAAAATATTTTATAGAGAATAATTTTTGCACTTCGAAGACCAAAGACTTAGTATTTTAAAATTAAATGGAAGTAAAACGAAACTAACTTATATTGCAGAAGAGAATTGTGCATTTAACCCTATTATATAATAGTTAAAATTTAAATGTAGTTTTGAGTTTTGATTCTCTTATTTTTATCTAAAAATTATCTTAACATCTTAAAATGTTTCCTTAAGGCCTAACCAAAATGTTATTTCTTAAAAAATTCAACTTACGTAAAATTTCATAATCTAATAAAAGAATATACAAAAATCTAATAAAAAGAGAGATGTATAACACTCTAGGAAGAAGGAACAAATATCATCACGAAGAAAGGAACAACGAAGAAGCACTGCTTACAAAGGGGTCAAACATCCTTCACGGAAAATAAGCTTCGTCAAAAAGGACACATACATGCAAGAGATGATTTGAGGTTGTATACTCAGGTGGTAAGAAGTAGATAAAATCAAAGAAGTAACTATGGTTCGGTGAAGAGAGAAGCAGTACATACGCGCATAAAAGAACTTAAATCAGTGTTTGTGCATTCAGCTTTCAACCTGAAGAAGGAAGATCTAGCTAGATTTCAAAAGGCCTTCGTGGGGGTGGTCTCAAAATCGGGCATGACATATAACATTCAAGAGGCATTCCATATGGAAGGAGTATTCATTGTAAAGGTAACTCCTATTGGGGCGAATCTATGCTTGTTGGAGGAAGGAGATAAGGGAGAAATTAAAGAATTAGAGGAAGAAGTCAGGGATTGGATAGGCCAATGGTTCGCCGAAATCAAAGACTGGACTCCAAAAGCTGTCGATAATGAAAAACTTACATGGATCAGATGTTATAGGGTACCATGCCATGCTTGGTCCCCTAAGTTCTTCAAATCATTTCATCAGTGGGAGAGTATCTTTATTTAGATGATGAAAGTAGAACCCAGACTAAAATGGACGTGACAAGGATATTGGTTAGGACAAAATATAGTACCTGAATGAAGCCTTTGATGTTTAAATTAATAACAATGTATATTATCAAACTAGTAGAATACGATCATGGCCCGAAGAAATCATAATCTCAAACATGGAAGTAGGAAATAAGAGCCTCGGGGTTTCAGATTCAATCTCAGATGAAGATGAAGACGCGTGGAAGACGGGGGAAGAAGATGGCGAGGGAAACTCTTTTGCCAGCGATAGCTTTAATCAAAACAGTGCAATGAATGAAAGGAGTATTAGGAAGGAGAATAATCAGGAAAAGTAAATCATCCCTTTTGGAAAAAATCAAGAGGCATTAAATAAAATGGAAGCATGCATGCAGGAACCTATCTCACCAACAAATGAAATCATAGGGCTAGAAGCTCAAAAAGAGTTGACAAAACATCCCTAGCAATTGTTGCAACAGTAAAGCGACAAGAAAAAAGTAAGTTATTAATTTACCGGGTGATATTTATGTAATATCGTATCATGTCCATAGAGATTGGTGAATTAAAATGTCATTCGACAAATCTCTCGTTAATAAGTTTGGGGATAAATGGGTTGAAAGGAAAAGTATCAACAAAAAATAAATGTATACAAACTATAAAGGATAGACAACTTATCCGATATGAATGTACACTACTCGTCATAAACTTAAATCTATCATCCAGTTATACTCAACCTACGATACTAGTCTATGTCATCACAAGTCACTCACAACCTAAGTCGTTTCTAACCCAAATTGAGAGGCTAACTGCATCACCTCCGTAGCAATCTCTCAACCACTTCAACAACACAGAAGTCAAATGTGCTCGCTTGCATCGACAATCTCTTAGAGCGACACAAACAACACAAAGAAATTTATCACAGACACCCTAAGTGAATAACAGTGATAAATATATCTCTAGAATTCAAACACTATTAGATAATCATCCTAGATAAGAATCTAAGCAGTATATGTCTATAGAAACTCAAATACCTAACTGTTGTACCCCAAAATTTTCCCTCCCATATTCTTCAAGATTTGCCAGGATCAATCTCCAGATGATTCAAAATCACTCAAGGGTTGCATAGTCCAATTGTCTCCTAACATAGTCAAAATTAGGGTTTTGGTTCTTGCAAAGAAATTGAGATTTTCAGGGGTCCAATCAAGTCCCATATGCCTATATACATTGTCAAGCATTCATATGTCAAGTTTCAAGACTCACAGCATCAAATTGCACAATCAAAAACCCTAATTGCTCCACAGTCAACTGCAGGGGCAAAATGGTCATTTGACAATCAAAAGTCAAAATTTTTGGTCAACATCTTACTTTGAAGCCACAAACATCATTTGATCAATTCTTGATCATGATTCTCAAAGCATGGCTCAAAAAGTCTCAAGATGCAAAAGTTTCTATTTTGGGACAATTGAAAAGTCAACTGCAAATTGACCAAGGCATAACTTCCTCATGGTTCATCAGAAAAATTCCATCCAAAGCTCATTTTGAAGAGAATGACATTTCCTACAACTCATATTCACACTCCAAGTCCAAGAAATGCTCTCACAAAAAGTTATCAATTTCAATATTATAGGTCATTTTCAAAAGTCAACAAAAAGGCACTTTAAGTCAAAGACCATAACTTGAGATTGGTAAATCAAAATGATATGGAACCAAAGAAATTGGTTAGAGGACTTCAATACCTTTCCAAAATGTCCAAGAACATGTTCATAGCTTCAAAATTGAGCAAGATATGCATTGGAGAAGTTGGGAAATTTTTGGGAACTTTGAAAAGTCAACTTTGCTTCAAAAGCTTCAAAAATGCTAATGGGCCTCAAATTCTCCCTTGAATCATTACCCAAAGCATATGCACGACCCATTAAGCTCAAAGGGATTTATTTTCTTATTTTTAATTAATTAATTGAATTTTTATTCTTATTAATTCATTTAATTAGATTTAATTATGAGAAAAATATCAAATAATGCCTTTCAAATCTTTTTATGCAGCAAATATTCTCATTATAGGCTAAAGATTTCGTGCACCAATCAACAAGACAAGATCATCCATATTTGGCAAGATTTGCATGAAAAAAAAGATTGAAAAAGATATGAAAAAATCAAATATTGAAAACATTAATTCAATGGACTTTTGGGCTTTGTTTTGACCTAGAATGCTTCACATACATATGCACAAGGAAACCTAATGCAAGGATACACGAAAAAGCTGCTGAGAAGAGATAACCAAATTGCAAAATTTCCATAAAAACTTGGAATCTGAAATCACATTTGCAGGGCGATTCAAGGCTTCAAAACACTTCCATTGCCTTACTGACATTGCTAGGAGTCGATTGCAATCAAGAACAAGTCCCCATACTACAAGAATCGGTAGAACAGAATCATCTTTTTCATAAATATGTCCATAATCAAATTTCAATATCTATGCATCATTAATGTGTTTTGATCATTGATTTGTGTTACTAACATCTCCCTGGAACTTTTGGCATAGTTTAATTGTTCTAAAAATGCTTGAAACGAGATTCACCATTGATGGAACCTAGGGTTTCAGAACTTCAAAATTGGGGGTTCTCATATATGGTAAAATTAGACCACCATACATGTATGGACACATTCGTGACAACAAGACGAATCCAATGATGCCCTCGCGCCCTTTTTATATTTATTCCTCTTCTAATCGCTATTTTTACAGTTTCCATTTAGTGGGGGTTTAAAACCTCCGCTACTTGCTTTATGTTTGCAGGGAAAACGAAGAAGAAGCCTGGCGTGTCATCTTATGGTTGGACAGTTCAAATATCCAGCGCGCTTTTTGTTTTATACCACTAATGTTGTTTCTTTTTATATAATCATTGTTTTCCACTAATATTACAAACGCGTTGCTTGGTTCAGATGGTGGATGACACGCCTTGTAACCACTAGGACCTGGGTTCGATTCCCATGTCCCCCCATATGCTTAATAATTTTTGTTTTAATATCTTCTAGCGCAGCACATCCTCAAAGGTTCACCATACGCACTCACGCTCAGGCTTGCCACATATTCATGATGATCAATCTGAAGGCTACAAAAGGAGGTCTATCATATACCTCAGTCAAGCCTCACACGCATGATCAGAAAAGTCAAAATAGGCTTTGTGTTCATGGGCCAAAATTGCTGCAATTTACCTCCTTTTGGGCCTGAAAACCCCCCTTGGTTTGTATATTTCTTAATTTTCTTTTCTTTTCTTTTTCTAATTCTTTTAATTATTTTTATTTAATTCACTTAAAATAATTTTCTTTTCATAATAAAACCAGAAAATCAAAATACAAAAATATGTTTAATTATTTATTAATTTACTCATTAATTTATTTTTGTAAATAAACTCTAGCAATTAATTTAGTTTAATTTAGGTTAAACTTTAATCTTTTCTTAATAAATAAAAAATATGTAGAAATTAGGGTTTTTTGACATGTTCATCTTTTTCATAAATTAAACTTTTTCCTCATTATTTCTTATCTATTATTATTATTAATTGTTAATTTTGTAAATAAAATATGTATATTAATCAATTA